GCTCACCAACATTTGATTCAGTTAGCATTAACTAAAAACTATGAATTCAAAATGATATAACCAATCAAGTGGAAACTAAAAGGCTGGCTAAGTAATCACAACACAAGAACTAATGGTACTTCACAACAGACCTGATTCATTACATCCTTGATCATTTCTTTGGCAGATTCAATTTGCCTTTTGTCTCCAGTTATTCGTACAGTTCTTTCCTTTGACGCATCACCCTCAGGAAGATGTTGCGGTATCAACTAACAACCGAAGTAGCAAATTCAGATGAAAGCCAGCAAACACTCATCAAGTGCATAGTGAAAAACCAGTACAGTTTTTATAAACCTCAAATTATGCTTAAATGAATGATCTCTACCTGTATGCGAGCACTGGATCTGGTCTGTAGGTTTTTTATAGTCTCACCACCCTTGCCTATGATTAGACCAACCTACGGAAGAGAAAACAGTATAAAAAAAGAGGTAACAGAAAACATATGTATTCATACAACACATACCTTTTCATTCGGTACTTTAATCTCAAATTGTTCTCCACCAGATTGTATAGTACCAAAACCCCGAGCAACAAGTGATGGGGAACCTCCTGCATCAGCCTAAGAATGGAAAAAAATGTTGAAAACTGAAAAATCTGCTAAAATTTATCAATAGAACAAGAAATAACAAAAGAGAAGAAATGTGAAGTTTTAGGAGATAATAAACCTCAGCAATTACATCCTTTATCAGTTTCTCTGCCTTGTTAATGCTCTCCAGGGTTCCTATTAGTTCCACTGGTCTAATAGTGGCATGTGGATCAGCTTCAGCATCTCTTGTTATCTGAATTTTTGCCCCTGAGTTGAATTGCAGGTACCTTATTGTCTCCCCAGCTTTACCAATAAGAACACCGACCTGTACACGATGTCTCAAAGATCAACTTAGGAAATAGTAATTGTGTAATCAATAATACTAGAAATCCAAAAAGAGAATATAAGTGGATTGTCATTGTTTTGTCAAACACTGGTGATGGCAAATGCTTCCAAAGTCTATAAGTTCATCACCAAATTTCAGTTTCGGTATTGCAACTCCAAAGCAGATGAGCCTAGTTCATTAAATATCAAATGAAGATCTTATATATCTCTAATTGCCCAATATTATTAGTTGTTGATTGAAATAAAAAATAAACTTCTTGATTACTCCTTTACAAGACACTAAAAATAACCATCAACAGAAGCATCAATAAGACCTAACTAAATCATTATTAGCACATCAGCAAGAGAGTGAACATTATAAACACTTTCCTAGCCCAGCAAACATGAAGAAGCATATAAAGAACATCCAGTTAGATTTTGCTCAAGTGCAAATCAACTGAATGGCCAATCCTTTTTGCGAAGATGATTAGCCAACATCTAGTTAGTTAGATAGACTGCCTGAAAATAATCCAAGTAATGTAAAAAAGTTCATCCAGAATGCTCCTCCTATGGGTTCAACCTTTAGATCAAGCTTCATCATACCGTAATATACTGCTCGGTATGGGTGGTACATACCAATCCGATAAAGGACCGGTACGGTTGGTATATCAGTACGCCCCATGTATCATGTGTTGATACACTCGGTATGGCTTAGTATACCTTGGTATGTACCATACCGACAGCTGGTCAGTACACCAGTACAGACCGACAGGACAAACCATGCTTAAGATATTTAGGGAGGATAATTTATTTTTTATAGTTTCACATGGCAGCATGTTCTCCTAGTAACGAAGCTGCACATTAGTTGGCAAAATGAGTCACATCAAGATGAATCAACTTCCACGTTAGTAGCAATGCTAAGCCAAATAATAGCATTTTACTTTATTTTTGCAGTCATTGTTCATCAGGAAAAAGAAAAAAACCTAAGCAACACACTATAGTTATGAACTGCTGTAACAATCAGAATCCCCTTATTTAAGCATACAGCAGACTGGCAAATCTAACATATAATAAGTGAAACTTTACCCAAACTATGCCACCCTGAATGTTTATCAGATCAGATGGACAGTTGGTTCACTGAGCTGGTGCACTAAAGGAGATTAATTTAACATCCCAAAATTTTGTTTCTTGAAGAAATTATTTGAGTGAAGAAAACTCTAATAATAACATATAATGTAGTTAAGAATATCAATAATACAGGGACAATAAGCTTTTGCAGATATAACTCATTAGAGACATTAAGTATAAGAAACACAAAGATATCACTGTAGTGTTTGATATTCATGACTTAATAGGATAAAGTTCAAGTTTCTGTTAGAATAAAAATGATGAAAAATGAAATGATAAATGTCATGCAATACCTTATTGTTAGGAACTTCAATTTTACGGGATGTTGTGCCCAAATCTGCTGGAGGCACTATGGTGGTCTGGGAATCTTGACCAGAAGGAACCTTACCATTTCCCACTGCTTGAGTTTCTGATTCCTGTAACTCTTTGCCAGCATCAATGGCCACTGTGTACATTAAGAAACAAATTAAAATGTTATTAACTTGAATCATACTTTTTCTCCAAAACTATAGTTCATTCCAATAAACTGAAGCAATCAACTCAGAACTAGAATCACAAAAATGTAAAAAAGAAAGATTAAATATCCACAACCAAGCAGGCTATGATCTCATATAGGACAAAATTTTAAGTTATGACCAAGAATTACAATTTTGGTACTACACCCATGGTGGTTACTGGCCTAGTACAAGTCCAATACAAACCGGCATACCTACACATGCAATGCATATACGTACCATAGTAACAGAAGAAGGAAGAGGAGGAGAAGACGATGAGGCAGAGGTGGAGAAGAGGACTAAGAGAAGAAGATGAGGTGAGGAGGCAGCAGCAACAAAGGATTAGGATAGAGGCAGCTGTGGCAGAGGAAGAGAGGAGCATGACTGAAAGGCCGAGGGTGGCGAAAAGTGTGCAGTCATGAAAGTGACTGAGAGACAGAAAGCAAACCTTGTACCATATTTGTACTGACATAAATCGGGCAATGCAAGTCCCCAATAATGCCAGTATATACTGACTGATACAGAGCAAAATTGCATATTAGAACCACTTCATTGTTCATTAAAGAAGGATCACATAGCTGCCCTTGTCTAATCATCTATCTGCCTTAGGTATCCATTGGACAATAGATATACATATGCAATCATCCACTGCACACAAGTGATCAGACAAAGGCAGCTATATCATCCTTAGTGAATTCCCTTCACACAACCCTGAACATCCCATCAGTTACAGACAATATCCAGTCCGATTAGTTGTGCTAACAGTACGAGCTTTGAGCTAGCTACCGTTGAAGCAATAAATTAAAAATGTCACTAAATGGAAATGACCAAACTTTAAAGAATATTCTCGAACTTTCAGATGCTCAGAACACGGGCAACAAGATCCCGAGATCATCCTAACTCTTCCAAAGAAAAGGCCACCAACCACACAAATTCTTAAGATAAAATGTCAAGCACGAGTTCAAACAAATTCAATGGACAACGCCGATAACAAAGAAGATGCATGCGAAAAAATTCAATACCAGAACCATTAATTTCTCCATCAGGGTGCGGCTTCTGAGCATCGGTCTTCACATCAACGGCCTCAGTATCCTTAATCCTTGGCTCAGAGCTTTCAGCATTTTCCGATTTCACCTCCTCTGCACAATAGCCAGTGTCTCAGTGAGATTCGTTTCTAAAGAAAAAGAAGCAATCAAAATCGCAAACAAGCATAGAAACCCTAGGAATCCCAATCGAGAGCTAATTGAAACACCAAAGAAGAACGAAATCAGCACAGGGTTCGCCTAAAACAAGCGGTTACCAGACGCGGCGACCTCCCCATCCCCCGATCCGGGCTCGTCAACGACCGGTACCGGGGCCTCGGTAGACACCTCCTGCTTCTTGAGGGGTGCCTCTTCGTCCCCGTCGCGGGGCTCGAGATCCACGAGCTTCCGTTTGTGGTCTCCGGAGGCGGCTGTCGCGATCGTGGTCTCATCGGCAGCGAAAGGGGATTCGTCGTCCTTCGGTGCTTCCGTTGCCTCCAGTGCCTCTGCTTCGTCGTCTGTTGCTTCTGCAACCACCTGAGCGGCCTCCACCTCCATTTCGTGATCCGCCATTGGAGGGAGCTCCGACGAGTGGATCGATCGAGTTAACGAAGGAAAAGGGAAGTAAAGCAATGTAGGATTAGGATTTGAGGAGGAAGAGCGAGGGCTCGAGATAGGGTTTTCGAATGGATCGAGGGAAGCCATGGAAGGAACGCCTCCACATTTATAGGTGTAGGGTTCGTTCGGGTCCATCAGATAGCCTCGGCCTTTTATCATACAATTAATGGGCTTTTACATAGGCCATTGTTATGGCCCATATTCCTCCCACACGAAAAGTATTGCTGATTGATGAGTTTGAATGAGCTAATTGATGTAAACCCATTTGTATTTTTTAATATGTCTTAAAAGATGAGAGTTTGAATGAATGCATAGTTGTATAATACTTTATTGCTCGATAAATAATAGATAAAATTTATATTTTAAAAGCTTATTGAATATGATAAATTTATCCTTCTGATATATTTAATATTTATTCAAAAATAAAAATAAAAAATTACTTAAATAAATAAATAAAATGAATGTATATAACCTTACAAAAAAATTTGTATGACTCGGATATATAATAAATAAATTATATAATCATATAAATGAATATAAAATATTTTTTTAAATAAATAAATAAAATTCTATCTTGTAAAATATATGTGAGAGAAAGAGTCTACTTAGTATCAATCTTATGATTTTAGAGAATATTATAAGATATTTTTTAAAATTTTCATTAGCATCCTTCAAATATTAAAAATGATGCATTTGAACATTCGTAATGCATCCTTTATATCAAATATGATTCTGTAAAAATAAATAAAAATATAATGAGATTATCATTTTCTTCTTAAATCGCCCATTCTTTCTTTTCTTTTATCTCCATGTTTTCAACATAGACTGTAATGTCTTCGACTTCTCGAACTAAGCAAAGATCAGTGTTTTCATGGCGTCATCCCAGTGGCTCCACATCCACCGCCGCACGAAGGCGGTGTGCGATCCATCGTTCTTCCCCGAGAGCCTGATGATGTAGGAGATCCATCTCAATCAATATTGGTTGTTATATATGTAGATTACACTTGATAGTTAGCTACGTTACCAGATGTCTGGGTATGCATGGATGGTCGCAAAGTCTATCTCGTCAATGAGATTGCTACTGATGAAGTCTGTTCCTACTTGGTAACCAGGATTGTAGTGCTTCTTCTCTGGCGTGGAATCTCCATAGAAGCCCTCCATTCCTATCTCTAGCATGTATCTGTTGTCCAGGGACTTCCTATTACTCGTCATCTCTCGAACCCAAGCCTGTCCACATGTATTCGAAGTAATCATGCGAATAAGCCTGTCCGCATGTATCCTCGTGGATTGCAGACATAAAGAAAGAGAGTATGTATGACACTCACATGCACAGTTTTCCAGGACTAGTCTGCTTGACAACGAGGCTCGTTGATTAGTTCCCATGCCATGATCGTTGGGTCGTCTTTGTAGGCTACGTTGGTGATGCTGTTGATTCGTGTCAACACTCTCCGCAGTCAGTCGAAATAAACAGACACAAAGAAAAAGATGAATAGAGCTCAGTCTATTATGCATGCAACGTCAGCTGTACAAGAAGTGGAAGAGGGGTCGACGCAGGGACAAGAAAGGAACTCCATAGGTCATCTTTATGATGGAATAATGTTCATGACATGAGCTCATGTATAAGATGACTGTATACACTACGATCTTATGACATAATTTGCATTGATAAATACCTGGATATGGTTCTTGTAGTATCCCTTAACTACTGGGTTGGTGTAGAGATCATCTTCTCCGTTTACAGCTACGCCTGCATCGCGCGCCCATTGCACGTTTTGAGCTCTGCCTCCGAAGTCCTTGACATTGTTAACCAAGCTCAGGATCAAGCGAACACCACGCTTTTGAGCCTCCCAAATCACAAAATCAAGTCCCTGATCATATAACAGTAGTAAATATATCATGCTTTGATCAGTGGTTAGGTGCAAAACTAGGCTTAGATTTGAGCGGCTGCAGCCATTGCACTACCTGAAAGACTCGCTCATCGTACTTTCCCTGGGAGACCCGCAGTGGCTGGTCACCACCATCGCTGAATGCCCACGTCCGGCACACAGTGAGACCCCCTGCCGCGGCCTCACGGAGCACCTCGGTGACCTTCGCCCGCTCGGCGGGCTCGGCCGCGACATGCATCATCCAGTAAGAGTTGAACCCGCTGAAGAGAAAGGGGGAACCTTCGAGGACGAACTGCGTGCCTTGCCTCGCGACGAATGCAGCACTACCGGCGACAGCGACGGCCAAGCATGCGAAGGCGCCCAACAGGAAGCGGAGCGCACAGGCCAGGCTCGCCATCGCGTGGGACGACTGCGTCTGCTTGTGGTGAGCAAAGTGGAGTGGGGTGGGTATTTATAGGGATCGCAGTGTCCCTTTTGGGTTGTGCTGTAATACAATGCAACGAAGTCTGTCATCATGCGATCTAGACGAGATGTGATAAAAGAAGAGGAAGGGGGAGGTGAGGATGATAGAGAATGGTGGGCGGAAAAGGCGGGCAGTTCGTTGGAGGGACGAAGGAAGGAGTTGGGGTGTGACGGTGGCAGTGGGGCCGCTTGTGACGTGGCGAGTGAGGGATAAAACGGTTTTAACTGATAGGGCTGTCGTGTATCAAAGAAGACTTGGATACATCATTTAAGCTAAAGTTATTCGGATCTAAGAGGACAATATCCTTGGATCAACTAGAGATTCTTTTTCAAATGACATTGAAAGATATGCATCTTAAATTGGATATGATATTATTTGATTTCAATTTTAACATAAAAGTTTTTCGTATAAGTTAAAGAATATTATAGATTTTATACTTATAATAAGAAGAGAGGAGAATGGCTTAATTTAGTTTTTATATGTAAATCTTCCAAGGATTCATAATGATAAGGTATCAAATTTAATGATGTTACCAAAAGATATCATTCTTGATCTATGATAAATTTAAATTTTAATCCTATTTTTTTCCTAATAGTTTAATATTATAGTCCCGATAAACAATAATATTCTCCTCTATTCAAGGCACATCTCCCTCTCACATGCACAATATAGTGAGCACCTAGATTTACTAGGTCAGGCCACTAAAAGTCTTAGTTATCACTATCATATCCATGAAATTTGTGACAAATAGAAAAAAATTCATTGAATTAATGCTAGGATTAAAGTGGATTTTGAGTTGACTCAATGACAATTAAATAAAATAGGTTGTCGTGATTCAGATAAAATTGTTGAAGGCTAGCTAAGAGTAGGGTTCTCTCAAACAAAATTTTGAGAGAGTTTGAGTTGACCTAATGGATATTTTGACCCAAACTAACTTGACTATTCAATTTGTATTTTGACATATATTAAACACAATGCAATCCTATTTTTGTCGATCAAATCTAATTTTGGACCAAATGCCTATTTTTTACCTAATTTGGTCAAGCTCAATATTGACTAGCTTATTGGACTTCAACCAAGTTGGGTATTGGGCTTAACATAACTAAATCTAGACTGACTTATAGCCAAAATCTAGACACTAAATTAGATTAACATAACTAAATTACCTTATTTTGATCAATATATTATATTAAAAAAAGAAAAATAAGATGTTCATAATTGAAGTTTGGACATAGTATGTTAGAATATGATAATTAAATTATTTTCCTATGATAAAATTATTGGTTCACTATAAAATATATTATAAAAGGCTAATATTGTTGTAGAACAATGAAGAATGTATGACATGAATAACACAATAATTATATCTCAAATTATTAGTTAGGCTTAATATAGTATTATTATATTTATTGGACACAAGGTAAACTTTATGTACACATATAACAAATGTTTGAAAATTTAATAATCTAATTAGATAAATTTATTTTGAAAATAAATATAGTTTTTTTTAATGATTTTTAGCCTTTTATCTTATATCTTATTTACTCAACGAGCCTAATAAAAGAATGTTTGATTATGTGGTTCAATAACATAGGATATGATTTATTAGTGGTTTAATTAGATTGTGATCAAAGTAATTGGTAAAAAAAAGAGAATCCTAATCTTGGGAGTACCATGATGGCATGACTATCTTATATTATCTTTTATTAGATTCTCTACTCTCATTTACATAATTACTGAGATTTTAACATCAATAGTTCTTCAATTACATCAATTATAATGGTCCCACAAGGTTTAGTTTTTCATATTTAAATCTTCGAAGGCTTCACGATATCCGATATATCAGATTTAATGATGTTATAAAAAGGTACATGATATCATTCTAGATTTATTATAAATTTATAATTCAATCCTATATTTTCTTGTTTCATAGTTTAATATTAAAGTCTCGACTAAAACAATGACATTCTTCGACCTTCTCCCTCTTGTCATAAGCACCATCTGGTGTGCACCTAGACCTGCTAGGTCAAGCCAACGAAAGTCTTAGTCATAACTATTATGATAAAAGTAAAAAATCATAGTTTATTGAATTAGCATCAGGGTTAGTTTGGAGTTTGAGTTGATCCAATGACAATTAAAGAAAATAGATTGTTGCGATAAAAGAATGGTGAAATTGCTGAAGGATGCTTAGGAGTGAGGTTCTCTCATAGAAACGCTTATGCAATATTTTGGGAGGCTAATTATCCAAAGACATATCAGCCCTGCTAGTCATAGGTGCCCTACAAGTCAATCACGTGAGTGATGACACGTGTGACTTGACATATAGTCTGTTTGCTTATTAACATTATTTGACATTTTATTACTTTATATTCCTGAATATATTGTGATGTCCATGGATATGTGAAAAGGGAATCGGATTGTGATTAGATCACGATAATATGATCGATTTACCTTTAAACACATATCTTAAATAATCCTTGTCATAGGTTACTCAAGAGAGATATCGAGATAACCGGACAAAATGGTGTGTTGTATATTTATCCATTTAATGAATATAGTTGGTCTCACTACTGCTCATATAGGGACATTAGGGATACACTACATATGCTCTTTGGAGAATGAGTTTGCTGATTGATTCGTTTTTGGAATGTTGGATGGTTGATAATGCCTTATTGTCAGGCAGCGATTCTGTATTCCCAATAGTGTATCTGGTCCATAGACTTAAGATATCAATAACGTCTTGTATGAGTACTCCACTCTTTGATACCAGACATATAGGTCTGAAAGTTCCAGATCCAGCACAACCGGTCATCGGGAGTGGTATCTAACTTTACGATAACTATTGAGTGTCGATAGAGGATTATCCACTCTCGGTGTCATGATAGGAATATCTCATGTATTCTTGCTCAAACAAATCCCTGGTTAGGGTCATTCGGATTGAGAGAGAAAGAGTTCTATGGGAGAATCCGATTAGAACGAGACTCGAGTAGAAACCATGTGAGTCTGACAACACCATGCTAGTATACGATCTTTGGAATATTAGATGAATGAAGGACTATAGGTATACGGTAACTACGGATAGACAAGTCCAAAAGATTTGATTTTTGTGTACCATTTGGGTAGTGACCTAGTACATCCGCAGTCGATGAGTCGAGTGAATTATTATTTAGATAATATTTCATTAAGACAAATGGAGTTCTGATTGGTATGACTCACGACCAGCTTGATATTGGGTTTAGATGGTTACACATATATAATAGGCATTGTGACGAGTAAAGAATTGGATATGAGATATCTACCAAAGCCCCTATCTTATTGAACATCCAATAAGCTATTGAATTATTTTATCCTACGGATGAGATCAAATAAAAGTCAATAAGAGAATATTGGATAGAGATACACTAATCTAAGAGGATTGAGTAGTTAAATGGAGATCCAATATCCAGTAGGGTAGGATCCATTAGGGTTAAGTTGATAGGGGACCTCTTTAAATAGGAGAGAACCAATGGTTCATAGGTTACAGACTTTTTGGGTTACCTCTCCAATTCTCCTCCCCTTTTCCTCCTCATATTGCAGGCTTGGAGTTTTGATTAGCATCGTCGTAGTCTTGCTCTGTGGATCACCGCTTGAGAGGAGAGCGCTTGACATTTTTCACCCTCTCCTATAGATCTGTAGGGATTCAGGGATATACGATCTCACTTGGTAATATAATTTTTTATATACATAATTTTAAGTTTTACGATTTTTATGCTCCAATCTTGCACGATGTCAAACACATCTTAGGAAAATTAGAGATTTTATTTTTTAATATTCTTCCACTGCGCATATGATGTCACCCCCCAAGTTTTCCAATAAGCCCTTCTAGAGTAAAAAAATATTATCTCAAGTGTTAATAAGTTATTCCAAGTTAAGAATAGAGCGGCTTCGTAAAAAAAATGAACCTTGGCACAATGTGAGATTAATTAATCGGTCGAATCTTTATAAGTTGTGGATGTAGAGTTTAACTTTTGAGACACTATCTAGTTTTTGCTTCCCTCCAATAGTAACGACATTTGACAAGAGTGCTTCTCAAAAAAAATCTCTCAAACACCAAATAAAGTCCCAAAGTGGTGGTATGAGGAGTGAGGAGAGACTAGAGTACAGCAACGAAAAATTTATTCTTTATAGCTAACCGTTTCCAATCTGAATATTTTAAGAAATATTATCTAAATGTTTGATACTTCAAAGAATATTTTATTGTGTTCTACTTGGAATTGGATGTTGCCCCTATGTAATTAATTTTTATCGTATAGTTAGATAGTTAGAGACACAAATACTTTGACTCATTAATTATCTAACTTTACTAGGAGATATCAGGATATCACTACCAAGGGGAGCTGGATCTCAACATCAGTTTTGTTCTCACTTAATTGGTAAGCAATTAAACAATAATTTTACTTTCAAATATAAAAATAAGAAAAGATGAGTTTTGAACTAATATGCTCCCTTTTCCTTCTACCAAATCCACTTTTGAATTTGCTCTATATGAGCGAATTCTT